ATTGGAGAGGCACGGAAAGAAGGCAGCTATGGCCAGGGCACAGGAACATTTCTGCATATCCAGCTCCACTGAAGATGTGTGGCTGGAACTGGGAATATGCTGAAGCCGTATGATTTCAGATCACTCTTTTTACTCACTTGGAAGCACAGACAGGCGAGTTCCCCCACCAAAAGTTATCCTTCCGTAGCTGCCAGGAGCTCACTGTGACAAAGCGCTTTACATAAACTGCAGATTCTGAATCACTGCTGAGCTACAGAGTTAAATGCTGTCATTCCAAAATCCTTAGAACCAGTTTGTCCTTCTGTGCTGACCGCTGTACACTCAGAAACTTGCTTTAGCAGGTTAAAAACATGCTGAACCAGACCTTATCACAAACAGCATAACACTTTGCTACCCATGTCAGTGCGTGTTTGAGGCCTGTAAAAACAAAAAAGTTTCTTCCAATTGAGAGATTTCAAATCAAATATAGATATAAAATGAGGGCTTCATTTAGCATGCAATATTTCCATGCAAACATTATTATGCCAGCATGTTAATTTTAAAGAGGAAAAAAATATATCTGAATTCTTCCTTACTTGTCACCCTTCTAGGACAGTACATTTGGAAAGGTGGAATATGAAAAATTAATACTGAGAAGTTTTTCAGCCTTAAGGGTACTACACAGCACAGTCACTACATTCCTAAACACAAGATCTGCAAACAGATTTAATGTCTAGAAACAGACAAGCAAAATGTTGAAGTGAAATGCATAAAGCTGCTTTGACATAGCAAGCTGAACCTTGGAAAATGAAGCTGGATGGTAAAGGCTGGTGTATGAAATTCTTTCCTTCTTCACTTACTTGGTGTTATGAAAAGATTTGTTCCTTGGCCAAAGGTTGCAGCCCTCGAGTTTCCTGTATTCACACAGCCAACAAGTGCTTTACAAAAACCATCCAGAGAAATACCTGCGTCTCGTTAACTCCTCTCCTAGAAGAAAACTTAATTAAATTCAGTCAAGAATGCTATCTGATGATATCTATAGTTTATTACTGAATTTGTCATCTGGCTTAGCTAAGGAGATGACCCTCAACAAGCTATATATAAATGTAAAAGCAATAATACCTAAAGATGTCTGCCTCCCTTTTATTTTCACTAAGTTGGAAACTAAGTGATTTCATCAATTATTGCTCCATTGCTTTCAAACCTCTACAAGGCCTTTCTTCACTAGGAAAAAACACCTGATTTACCCTCAGTTTATTTGCTTTCCCAAAGGTGAATGTAGTGTTACTTTTCTTCATAGAAGCCCACATAGTGCTGCATTTGGGATTTCTGATGAAAACAGTACTGCTACCAAACCAACGTTACAACCGTTGCTGGGTGATGTTGACACCAAGTCAAGATCTTTTCAGCTTCTCAGGCTGCCCTGCACGCAGGGAGGCTAGCAGTGCACAAGGAGCTGGGAGGGGGCACATCCAGGATGGCTGACCCAAACTGACCAAGGGACATTCCATGCCCTGAGCACTGAGCTGCTGGGGGTAACCTGAATCTGGTTTTTGCCAGATTTATGGAATTCACACCCACAGAGCTTTACAAGATCCCATCCACAGCAAGCTTTTGACCCAAGGCAGGATTTCTCCAATTCATAATTTCCATTTCATTGCAAAACTAGTGGAAATCTTTGTTTGGAAGTGGGTTTTGCGTTGTTTTGTCCCTCCTGCCCCCCTAGCCTTCACGTGCTGCAAAGAAACTGAGAATCTGGACTACGTGTTCAAGGATATTACATGTCTTGTGACAGACCAGGTGTAAATCCTGCACATTAAGTTCAGCACCGACGTCCGAGTGCCTTTCCACAATTAGTAGAAATACACAGGCATTTCTTATACTTATGTATGATTCTCAAGCCTTTTATATGAATTCTCATCATATAAAAGCAAACAAACAAATAAAATCTCTTTCAGAAAAAATCAAACAAAGAAAAAAACATATAAATCCATTGATGGAAATAAAAGTAAAATATCACCTTTGGTTAGAAGACTTGACCATAGATGTTCAGTTTTAGAGACTAAACCTGGGCTTTCAAGACAAACAATAACACTCACTTACTCTTCTTAAAGAAGATTTCCTCGTGAAGTTATCATTAGATCCCTAATTGCCAAAGATGCTCTCAGCTTCACCAAACTCTGCTTTTGAGATCATGAACAGACAGGCTTATCCTCTTGCCCTGTGTCACCATTTCATTAGCATGCATGAAGTTACTGTGTGACAAAGAGCTTTATCAAACATTCTGACAGTAGGATAGGGGAGTTTTTTGGCTTAGATGTGTACACATACATCTCCTGAGGGTTTCTTCTCAAATGTCCTAAATAAAAACCCCTCATGACAATTCACTTCTTTGCTGCCTTTCTTCTACATCATGTGCTGTGGGATCCTCTCTCACAGCCCAGTTCATATCTATCACAGGGCATAAAGTAGTTCTGTTGTTCTGCAGTAATTACTCAGCCTTCCACAGCAGCTGTTAACTGTGTGGTGAAGGTGGGTAAGCCTAAGCAGGACAGGGGAAGTTTTTCTATAGCACCTTCTGCATCCGCCCCAGTCGGTGATATCCCATCATACACCAACATGCTGCATTGATACAGCTCACACTGAAACTCCTCATCCAGCATGGCCTAAACTCAACAATGAAACAATGATATTTCTTCACGTGGGTCCTTTCTTTCAGATCCCCCCAATTCTCCTGACCAAAATGACCAAAAGGATTTATTCCTATTCCAGATACGAATTTGCGTTCCTTGTGTTTTAGGGAATAGAGGATGGGAGAGTGGGGAAACGCTTCCATTAACTTCCTTTGTAGCTGAAATTAAAGATAGGCAGTCTAAAAGCAAATCAGTTTTGCTGCCTATGTTTTCAATTTAGTAGATGAAAAAGAGCTTCCTAGAAACAGGCATTGCACCCCCAAAATTCACTATTATCCTCTTCTTGCTCACACATGACTAGCTACACATGGTAAGCCTAAAAACTGAAGTGCTAGCATTAGAGTGAATTATATTCTGACAGTTTTTTATTCCAGTAGAGTTTCTTTCTTCTTCTTCCAGAATATTCACTTGAGTTTAGCTTCAGAAATGTTTCTGTCTCAAAGTTAATTACAGTCACTTACAGCTTTTCCATTACAGTGAACCACCTCAAAATGCCACTCAGATCTTACATGTGAAAACTTATGAATGCCATCCAGTTCCAGACAGACTCATACTGCTGTCAAGTGGTTATCATGAAATGATCAGATTCTTCTGTGTTGTTCAGATTTACAGAAATACGAGCTTCAAATTCACTGAATTCTCACAACTTAAGTAAAGAGATTCTTGTTCTGGTTTTGGTGTAAGAGATGTGCTCTTCTTTAAGGCAAATTCTGAACATTACTTCCAGTATCTGGTCCTTTGATGGACTCTCTTCACTACATCTGTGTCTGTTGTACTGAGGAGACCAGAACTGGACTCAGTATTCCAAGTCTGTCCTCAGCAGTGCTGAGTGGACGGAACACCTCTCTTGGCCTACTAACAGGACTGCCTAATGCAGCCACGAATACTGTCAGACTTTTAATGCCAAGGGCACATCATTAACTCCTATTCTTGGTGTCCACCAGGATCCCCTGGTTCTTCTCTTCCAGGCTGAGTGGCCCACAGCACGTCCTGGTGCCTGAGGAAGTTCCTCCCCAGATATAGGGCTGTGCATTTCTCCTTGTTGAAGTTTGTGATGCTCCTATCAGCCCATTTCTCCATTTGTTGAAGTCCTGCTGAATGACACCATGACTCTTGCCCTTCCCCCTGTTTTCTGTCACCAGGAAACTCAGCATCCTTAACAAAGATTTTAGGCAGTACCTGGGGCTGACCCCTTGGGTACAGCAATAGTTGCTGGCCTCCAGCTGACCTTCATGACCCTGGTCACCACACTCCAGGCCAAGTTGCTCACCTGGTTTTCAACCTACAGCACTGTCTGCTCATCCATCCCATATCCATCCAATAGCTTGTTTATGAAGTTTTTAGAGGACACAAGCCTGAAAGCCTTCCTGACGTCAAGGTAGACAAAATCCACTGCTCTGTCTTAAATTAAGAAGGCTTAACCTATATTTAAGGGGAAACAAAAATAAAAACTGGAAAAAAAAATCAGAAATTCTTAAACTGAGTGGGATCTAGTGTCAGTTATACACCCTGACAAAAATTAAGTAGATATTTGCCACAAATGTTTTTAGCTACTATAGAAAGTTTTGCAAAGACTCATTGGGGTTTAAAAGCTAAAATTAAAAAAAAAAAAAAAAAAAAAAAAAAAAAAAGAAAAAGAAAAAAAAAGAAAAAAAAAAAAGGAGAAAAAAAACACAGCAGGCAAACACATCTGGTTATTCTTTGAATCTCACAAGCTTCTAATCTTATCAAGTTGCTGATGGGAAGAGAAGAAGTGTCCAAGGAAAAATCTATCGCCTTTTCTCAAATTTAACTTCATATCCATCCCCACAGTGCAAACTGTCCAAGCCTGTGCTTCTCTCTTTAAATAAACAGTAACATTCAAACCTTCCTAGAGTGAAACTGGACTGGCAATCGTGACCAGCAATCATACAGCCAGAAGGTGGTTGTGAATTTACAGAACCAAATCAGACTGAAAAGTTTTTAGCAATGATCTCAGCTGGTGCTGGCTTTGAAAATTAATACCCACCACTGGCTAATTTAATCATAATGCAATTTAAATGCACTGACACATTTTATGCATCATATTATATCCTCATGGATGCAGAAGTTTTTCTCCCATTCTTAGACTGAACCTTCTGGTTCTAAATACCCCCTCTGGGAAGACGCTTCATCACTGTGTTCAACTACAGCTTACACAGTACCCAGCGTGAACAGGATTTTTATTCAACCCTTCTTTTACTTCACAAAACTGATGGAAATACGATTTGTGCTCCTGGCAGTTCTCCCCATGTTTGTCCCTTGGAAATGTCATCCTCATTTTCCTATCGTTAAAGCACAGCATCTTACCCGAAAGCACCGTGTGAGGTAGAGCCCGCACAAATATGGTCTTGTCAATGACTGTACGCACTGTAGCTCAGCCCTTTACAAAAACAGGATGTCCATCCACACTCTCCTGACATTTAAGAGGTTTACATCACGATTTCTTGTCACATAAAGATAGTGATCATTTGATATTTAAAGCAATTTGAGAAATGCCTCCATCTGCTGAGGAGAACGATTGGTAGAAGTGATGATATAAATTAATCACCCCGTAACTCTGCTAACATAACATCAGTAAATGTGATTTACGTATTAAATGGTTCTTTCTGAGCTGCACTGCATATGCAATCTGTACTAAAGCCAAAGACTTTCAGCTAAAAACTGCCTGAGGAGTGGGAAGGAATACTGTCCAATTCCCTACGGGATGAAAAGCAGTAGACCAAATCACTTGACATTTTTAAGTATCTATTTCTAATGCAGAAATAAAACAGAACTAGAATCAAAAGCAGTCCAACTCTGTCTTTCTGCGTAAGGCATCCCACCCTCCCCCAAGTCCAATCGTTTTGGTGCATAAAGAGTTTTAAAGAATTCCTCGACATCATTTCACACACAGTGGACCACAAAGGATAAATCATTTTAGCAGAGTCCTGTAGGAAATGACCGCCCCACAGAACAGTCTTCCCGTCCTCCTACCCCTTGGTTGCACCCAATTACCTCTGATCAAGAGCACAGCTTCTGGGTGGTGTCTTGCACCTCCATGTAGTCATTATTGATTGCAGTACACCTAATGAAAAAAAAGGACCACCCAAATTAAAAACCCTTTTTGCCAAGGAGGAATCTTAATTCTTTAAATCTCCAAAAAAGTAAAGGAAGACTCTATTTTTGTCAATTTTGTCCCAAGAGAAGTTCCTTGACTCTGCAAAGAAACGGACCTGTTTCAAGAGACAGCCAGGTCCACAGGCAGCACTTTCCAGAGTGAGAAACCCCTGAGCAGAAATGCTCTCAGCATTCAAAGGAGCAATTACCCGACGTTCAAAGGAACAAAGGGTGTCACCATGCCAACGCAGCTCCTGTTGTCTCATCCGCAGCCTTCCTAGACGCAGCGATTTGCTTTCTAATTTCTTCCTCCCAGGGCACCAGACAGCTTGGCTTGGCTGTCGCCCACCTTCTCATCAGTGCCTTCATTTACTGAAACCAGAAAGCTCTACTGCATTCCTCACTGTTTCAGACTTTGTCCTTGCTTAGCAAGACACCCATAGCCTCAAAAGACCCAAACGTTCAGACTGCTGCTGCTTGTTTTCTTTAATTTACAGTTCAAAGTTCCCTTAGAAGGACCAATATATTTCAAAAGCAGTTCTGCAAGCCTTTGCCATATTCTACTTCATTTCATTCTTAAGAAGTCACTTTTCTGTACAACAAACAACTTTATCTTGCACCTACAAATAAGGCATATTTGCATCTCAGTTCAGTTATTCATCTTCTTTCACATACACACGTCTGGCAGTGGGCTTTTTAAAGCTTATTTCTCATATAACAGGAGTTTCCATCTGCACTGATTGGCAATTTGAGAGTGCAAACTCAGAGCAGGTAGGTTTAATCAGTGGCATGTGCAGAGGCAACAGACACTTCGTTTTGGTTTGTCTGATCTTGCTTTTTGTGTTTGTGTTGTTGGGTTTTTTAAACTATTTTCTTTGTAGGTTGTTTTTTTGTTTTGGTTTGGTTTTGGTTTTGTTTGTTTGTTTGTTTGCTTTTAGTTTTGTTTGCTTTTTTTTTTTTTTTCTTTCCCATTCAACTTATTTATTGAAATTCATCAAATATAAAAGCAGAAAAATTAACACTCCAACCAGCAGGTAGCAGGAGAGATCAAGGAAAGAAATTCAGTTTACATCAACATGCCTGATTTTATGAAGAACAGCTTAGTATTTCAGGGAAATAGAGCACACAGATGAGAATATTATCAGAAGAGGCCAGCACTATTCCTATTGTATTCATAATGCTGTATAAAATACCATAAGGATTCAGTTCCACAAAAGGGTTTTTTTTTTCATGCTTAAAATTAAAAAAAAAAAAAATCATGTTTAAAATAATAGCAAGAGAACAATCAGTTTATCAGCTCTATAAACACTTAAAACATCTATAAAAAGTTGTACGGCTGAAAGTGAAATAAAGCCTGATTTTCCATCTCAAAGTTTAAGAGGAAAAGGGCAGACTGTTCGAATCCAATTCACTCCCTCAAGAAATCATTTTGAGATTTTTTACCCCATTCTCATGCATTCTCGTTACTTTCAGCAAGTTAAAACCAAGAAGTACTGGGTTTTGCTCTGAGAACCCTTCAAAATATTTGCATACTCCATAGATTTCTGGGATGTGGACAGAAGGAAGAAAACAGATCAGTTGAATCATTGGCTGCAGGGATGGCACTGTGCACAGGGCTTTGGTTTCTGTGGTCCAGGACACACCTTCAATAGACCAGACATGTTGAGTTGGTTGGGATGCAGTGACCAGGAGGGACAGGAACATATGAGGCAGCAAAATGGCTGTGCTTATCACCAGGGCTTTGAACTGGATTTGATGGGAGAAGTGGATCAGTGCTCAATGAGTAGAGCTAGGGAACACTGTCAGTTTAGGAAGCAGCAGGGGAAATCTCAGGGAAATTGGGATGGGCTCCTCCAGGAAGGAAACACAACAGCCCAGCTGAAGTGCCTCTACACCAGTGCATGCAGCATGGTAAATGAGCAGCAGGAGACGGAATACTGTGATTGAGGGCTACAAGCTTTTTAGAAGAGAGAGGCAGAGCAAGAGGAACAGTGGAGTGGCTTTCTTATTCTTTCTTTTCTTTCTTATTCTAAGAAATAAGTTGCATAAACAGCCATGACCAGGTTGAGAGCTTGTGGGTTAAAATCAGGTACCAGTCCAAGGAATCTGGCAGTTAAAGTCTGATACAGGGTACCTGATAAAGCAATCCTATTGATGAGGCCTTCTTGCTTCAGCTGCAAGAAGTGCCATGCTCACAAGCTCTCATCCTGGTTGGGGATTTCAATCACCCAGCTATCTGCTGGGAAAACAACATGACGAGCTGCAAGCAATCCAGGAGACTCCTGGAGTCTTTTGAGAGTAACTTCTGGGCCCAGGTTTTGTTCAGACTAATCAGAGGTGAAGCATTAGTGGAGATTATTAAGGAGGTTATGATTGCAGGCAGCCTGAGCTGTAGTGAAGATGCCCTGGTCAAGTTCATGATCTTGAGGAATTTGAGCCTGGCAAAGAGCATAGTCAGGACCCTGAACTTCTGGAGAGTGAACTTCAGGCTGTTTAAGGAATTACTGGATTATATCCCCCGGGAAACTGTCCTTAGAGACAGGATCAGAATAAAGCTGGCAGCATTTTAATGACACCTTTCTGAGAGTGCAGTAGTTCACAGTGTAAGAAATCAAGCAGAGCAGATGGGAAAGGAGCACGGCTGAGCATGTACCTGCTGGTCAAACTGGGGGATAAAAAGGAAGAATACAGGCAGTTGAACCAGGGATGGTGGGCTGGGAAGAATGCAGAGATGCTGCCTGTACATGCAGAGATGAGATCATGAAAGTCAAGGTGGAGATGGAGCTGAACTTGGTGAGAGTTGTGAAAATAACAAGAAGGGATTCTACACACACATTGGTTAAGAGACAGGTCAAGGAAAGTGTACTCTTTCTGATAAGTGAGATGAAAGAACTGGCTTCAAAAGACATGGAGAATGCTGAAGTACCAACACTTTCTTTGCCTCCTTCCTCACTGCCAGACAGGCTCCTCGTGTCTCTCATGTCCCTGAACCTCCAGGTGTGGGTAGGGGAAGCTAAATCCCTCCCGCTGTAAGAGCAGAAATGTCAGAGACCACCTCATGAGGTTAAACTTGTACAACTCTATGGGGCTGGACAACATCCATTCCAGGGTCCTGAGGGAGCTGGTTGATGTGGTTGACAAGCCTCTCTCCATTATATTTAAAAAGCTGTGAAATGAAGTCCCTAGGGACTGGAAAAATGGAAACAACTTTGTCATTTTCAAGAAAGGGAGGAAAAGGAGGAGGATCAACAGATGTGTGAGCCCCATGTCTGTACCTGGGCAGATCACGGATCAGATATCAGGAAAATATGTTAAGCCATAAATGAGAGGTGACTGAGACAGCCAGTGTAGCTTCACCAAGAACAGACCATGCCTGACCAATCTGCTGGCCTTCTATGATGGAGTGGCAGTGCACAAAGGAAGTACAACTGATGTCATCCATCCAGACTTCTGCAGGGACTTCAACATGGTCTCACAACACATCCCTGTCTATAAATTGGAGAAATACAGATTTGAAGGCTGGACTATTAGTTGACGAGGAACTGGTTGGATTATTGCAACCAGAGGGTTGTGATCGAAGGTTTTATGTCCTGGTGGAGGCTGGTGACAAGTAATGAACTCCAGGGATTCATCCTGGGACCGGTGCTCGTCAGTGACAAAGATGATGGGATCAAGTGCACTCTCAGCAAGTTTGCTGATGAAACCAAGCTGAGTGATGCAACTGACATAACTGAAGGAAGAGGCGCCATCCAGAGGGACCTAGACAAGCTTGAAAAGCATGCCGATCTGAAACGAATGAGGTTCAACAAGGCCAAGCACAAGCTGTTGCAGTTTGGCCAGGCAATCCCAGATGTGTGTACGAACTGGGAAAAGAGCTGAGAACAGTTCTGCAATGTCTTGGGGGTTCTGGTGTATGAAAAGCTTTACAGGCACCAGCAGTGTATTCTTGCAGCCCAGAAGGCCAACATCAAAAGAAAGGTGGCCAGGAGGGCAAGGGAGGTGATTGCCCCCCTCCACTCTGTCCTTGTGAGGTGCCATTGGAAGTGCTATGTCCCAGCCTGGGGATCCCAGCACAAGAAGGATACAGAACTGTTGGAGTGGGTCCAGAGAAGATGACCAAGACTAAGATGACTAAGGGGACCATAGGCCTGGAGCACCTCTCTCATGAAAAAAGGTTGAGGGAGTGTGTTTTGTTTATTGTGGAGAAGAGTAGGCTTCGGAGACCTTTCATTGTGACTTCACAGTATTTGAGGGGAACTTATGAACAGGAGGAGACCAATTTTTGACATGATCTGACAGTGACAAGGGGGAATAGCTTTGAACTAAAAGAGAGGTGATTTAGTTTAGTTGTTAGGAAGAAATTGTTTATTCAGAGAGTGATGAGGCACTGGAAAAGTTTGCCCAGAGAAGTTATGGATGCCTCATCCCTGGTGGCATCCAAGACCAGGTTGGATGGGGCCCTGGGCAGCCTGATCTGGTGGATGGGTTCCCTGCCCTTCTTTAATTCCATTCTAACTGAAGCCATTCTACGATTCTGTGATTCTTTGATATTCCAAATTTAACCCTTGCACGTTGATTAATACAAGAATAGCTCTTAAAGCCTGCTGAGTTTTGTAGTAGTTGAGGATAATTGGGCAGGATAATTACATTACACTCCTTTGGCAAGAAATCAGAGAATCAAAATAGAATCATAGAATCAAAATAACCTGAACTGGAAGGGATGCATAAGGACCATTGAGTCCAGCTCCTGACTCCACACAGAACCACCCAAAACTCAGATTGAGAGCACTGTCCAGATACTTAAACTCAGGCAAGCTGAATGCCACAGCCACTTCCTGAGAAGCTGTTCCAATGCCCAGCCACTCTTGGTGAACAGCCTTTTCCTCATATCCAGTCTGAACCTCCTCTGTCACAGTTTCATGCTGTTCTCTCAGGTTCTGTTGTTGGTCACCAGAGAAAGAAGATCAGCTCCTGACCTTCCATGCCCTCCTCCCATGAGGAAGCTATGGGTCACAATGAGGTCCTTTTTATCCTGCAGATAATCTCTATTTTTTTTCCAAAGCTACATAGAATTATAGAATCATTTAGATGGAAAAAGTGCCTACAAAATCATCAAGTCCAACCACCAGCCTGACCTACCAAGTTCTATACTAAACCACATCCCTTAGTGCCCCACATCCACATGTTTCTTAAATGACTCCACAAATGACAACTGCCTGGACAGCCCATTCCAGTGCTTTGGCACCCTTTCAGTGAAGAAGTTCTTTCTGATATCTCATCTGAACCTCCCCTTGTTGCAACTTGAGACCATTTCCTCGTGTCCTTTCACTTGCTATCTATGAAAAGAGACCAACACTCTCTCTGTTCAACCTCTTTTTAGGTAACTGTAAAGTAATGAGCTTTCCCTTCAGCCTCCTTTTCTCCAGATTAAGCAATCCCAATTCCCTCAGTCCCACTACACTAATTTTGTAGTCCCTATACCAGCTTTGTTGTCATTCTTTACACAGACCTGAGCAACACAATATCACTCTTATAGTGAAGTGCTCAAAACTGAACATAGTGCTCCAGGTGCGGTCTCACCAGCATCACGTTCAAAGGATCTCCTCTTGTCTTGCCAACCACACTATTTCTGATACACAAGAGGATGTCACTGGTCTTCTTGGCCACCTGGACACACTGTTGGCTCATGTTCAGCCAGTTGCTGACCAGCACCAGCAGATTTTTTTCTGCTGTTCAAAGTTCCAAGCATGGACAATTTTCTTCGCATGTTCTGCATTGGCTCAATATTATAGTTTTTAAACAGAAAAAGCCACTGATTGTAGGAGATAATTACGAGTTCACAAGGATGAAAAACAGGACCAGAGCTGCTACAGGTTCTTTCTTAACTCAAACTAAAATTTCTAGATCCAAACAACTCATAACTGTGGAAATAATTGTGTGTTTTATTGAAACATCCAGTGCAGTTTATCTAGAAATGTAAGAGCTGGAAAGGATTTGTGCGTCTGCACACATGCTTGCTTCTTGCACCCATATCAGGTGGTATAGTAAGGTGTTGCCTTTCCCATTAACATCTCTTCTCTCACAGTGGCTGCATAGGTGCCAAAATTCCTCACTGCGTACAGAAACTTCTCATCTTCCAAGGGTTTATTACACCCTTCTTTAGTCCTTATTTGACTGATATATTTCTGTACAAATTCGTGCCATGCCACTCAGTAGTCAAACATTTATAGATCCCAGTCTTCCCATGTGCAACATCACAAGTTTTCCATTCTGTGGTTTCCAGTCACAACCAAGGACTACTGAAGAAAATGCTATTTCTTGATTTTCACAGAGATCCACAGAGATTTCACAGAGAGTCTTGCCTGAGAAGCTGGGAAAAGGAGTGATCTGGAGTCTAATGAGAAAATGTGGTGGATGTCATCAGAAAATCAGGATAAAATATGAAAGAACAACTTCCCATAATTTATATTATGATGAGACTGTTCTGTTGGGTTATGTAAATTTCACTCATATTTTGCATAAGTGCCCAAACCTGGGGCCTCAAACACAGGAAGGATGCAAAGCTGTAGGGCAACAAAGATGATCAAAGGGTTGGAGAATATCTCTAGTGAACAAGGGTTAAAGGAGCTTGTTCAGCTTGTAGAAGAGAAGGCTCCTGGAAGATCTCATGATGGCCTTCCAGTACTTGAAAGGAGCTTACAAACAGAACGGGACCTGACTTCTTACGCTGTCTGATAGTGATAGGACGAAGGAGAATGGATTCAAACTAAAAGAGGGGAGATTTAGGTTAGATGTTAGGAATAAATTCTTTACTCAGAGGGTGGTGAGGCACTGGAACAGGTTGCCCAGAGAAGTTGTGGATGCCCCATCTCTGGAAGTATTCAAAGATGGGATCCTGTGCAGCCTGATCTTGTGGTTGGCAACCCTGCCCACGGCAGAGGGGTGGAACTAGGTGATCTTTAGGGTCTCCTGCAACCTAAGCCATTCTCTGATGTTGTGGTTTAAGCTGGCAGGTGGCTGAGCACCACACAGTTGTTTGTTCACTCACTCCCCTCCCCCCACAGTGGGACAGGGGAGAGAATCAGAAAGAAAAAAAAAAAGAAGAAAAAAGAAAGAAGTAGAATTCATGGGTTGAGATAAAACTATTTACTAAGATAAAGAATAATAATTCTGACAAATATGTATACATCTATGAATGTATTTTGCAAGTGATACAAGCTATTGCTCACCACCCCCCAGCCGATGCCCAGCTAGCCCCCAGCAAATGGCTTTGGCTCTGTACAGCACTGCTTAGCAGCAACTGTAAACATCAGCATGTTATCAATGTTGTTTTTCTCCTAGAACCAAAATATGGCATCATTCCAGGCACTCTGAAGAAAATAATTCTGTCGCAATTGATTCTATGGCTGTATGATAAGATGAAGGTTTTCCTCTAGGTGTCTGCAGGGTGTGAAAGACTGACCTGACCAAGTTATTAAGCAGTGTTTTTAGAGTCTGTCTTGAAGGCAGCAATAACTCAGCTGGTAGCTGTAATTTTCTCTCCAGGATGTGGTTAACTTGTTTTTCAAAACAAGGGGGAATTCACCTTGTACGTTGCAAGTTAGTTGTGTTAACCACAGCATCCTGCCTGCTGCTTCTGAGGGAAGGATGAGTTGGGGAGTCTGTGTGCTGAGTGTCTTTTTAGCAAGTTGCTATAGAAGCTATATCTCTCCATCAAACCAGCATACGTTGTTTCCTGCTGGCCCCATCCTGGTAACAGTGAATGGAAGAAAGTAGTGCATTCTCATCTCTCTGCTCATCTCTCTGTTTTTCTTGCCCATGCTCATAACAACTTGTCTCTTAAGTGATTTCTCCTTGTACCTTTTTGATGTGATCCGGAATATCACACTGGATTCTTTATAAAGTCATCTGAAAAGTAAAAAAAAAAATATTCAAATCGCCTTGGCCTGGCCCTCCTGAAGCTTTTTAATGTGCCAAAGGAAGCCTTCGCTTCCCAGTACAACCCTAGGAAACACAGATTTATCAACAGGAAACCCAGGATATCAAAGCTGTACTTCTGATGTCACTGGTCATTGGAACAACTAGATTTTACCAATCTCCCTTCCAAATTCAGAAGAATAAACACAGCGCAAACTACAGCATTTTAGCATACTAAAACTTTATTTGGGCAATGACTACAGCAACTTAAAACAGAGATGTTGTATGCTTTGCAGAAATGATACAAGTTAAACAAAGAAATGCAAATAAAACTGTTACTGTGGTTGAACATTATCTGGTTGCAGTGAATCACTTCAGGTCCAACACAGATTTCTTCATCTACACTAGAAAGATTGTTATTGAAGCATTGAAGCATATTGAAGTTATTGATTGTTATTGAATTTAGATTGTTATCTAAAAAGCAGTAAGACTTTTAATATTAATTAATTAATAGCCTCTCCAGAATCCTCTCAGCAGTAAAATCTCAGCTCTAGGGAGTAATGTAACGTTCCTGTAAATGCATTTTCAAATGGTGATGTACCTGTGGTGAGGCTCTGATTTTTAAAACTATCAGTGCTGGTGGGATGCTTCTATGCAAAGGATAAAAGAAAGGGAAAAACAATTCCTACTTAGCAAAGGAATGAAGAAAAATGTACTCTCCTCAGTTCACAGAGAACAAGAAATAGCAAAATCAGTTACAACTCTAACAGTTACTTAAACTGTCTAGGAAGGTTTTCCACCCCTGGAATTGATACTGCTGGTAAATGCTCTCTCCTTCTGCTCCTCACACTTCTGCTGCCTTGTTTCTCCATTGCCTAGAAGAACAAAGTGTGTTTTAGGTTATATTTAATGTAATACATTTAAAGCATATACCCCTCCGCTGTTTGATTGTTATTAGATCAAGACAGGAAGACTCACCAGGCTCAGTCTGGACTACTTTTTATCCCTCTGGGAACATTAATTTTAAAATTCTTCCTTCTCCTTTCTTTCCTGCCATCCCCACACGTTTTTGTTTTGGGAGCCATCCTTCTGACTCCTTACTCACCTTGATTGTTCTCCAAGCCTCAGGTTCTGCCATTCGAGTCAGTCAATGAAATATTTCTTAGGCATTAGTGATAAAACCTGAGGTGCTCTGGCAAAGCAAAGCACACTTGGGGACCAGCAACAAAAACTGAGCATGGAACACACAAAAAGTCTGGTTTTGATTCTTTGCTTGTTTGCAGAAAGAGGCAATATATATATTTTAATGGAATAGAAGTAGATGAACAGTCATCACTCCTTGTGTGGTTCAAGAAGTACACAAAGCCAAGTGGCCATTTCAGACACATAACTCTGTTTCCACAGACCACGCTATGTGTTTCCTTACCTTAGAAAAGCAGCAGCTTGATACTCATGAGTGTGTTGAAGGCAATACTTTTTGCCAGCAGAACTCTCAAACCCAACACAGCCATGGACAACATGTTCACTTTCTCCACATTGATATCTGCTCAGTGAGAGAGAAAAGAGGGGAGAGAGAGGTCATGGTCTAGAGTGAGATGCTGTGATATGGGTATAAAAGTGGGGGGAAAACGCTGTTAATAGAAATGGCAGTAAAGATGGCAGAGAAACATCATAATGACAAGGGAGGAAGACAATTCTCTTGATGGGATTTTGCCTCTTGTTGCTTACTTTCTGTAAGAAAACTTGTATGCTCCCTCTGAAAGAAGAAGGTTGTGTTTGATGAGTACATAATATTCTGATTCCTCTGCCCCTTGAGATAAAAAAAAGCTTTTATCCCCAACACAGTAACAGAATTCCACAATTTCTTTAGGTAACTAACCTGCAGAGGTGTCTGTGGTGTTGCAAGTATTTTCTGACTTCGTTTCTTCAATTTTCCTTTCTGTAGCATAAAAAAGAAAGACACTATAAACAAAATCTGAATGATAAGGAGTATTAAAGACTGTGTCCATCTGACTTTTCCACAGAAACAGGTTTGTGGGAAAGCCTGGGGTTCAGCAGACAAATCACAAATATAAATTTGAGAACAGACCTCAGTGTCATTGCAGGAAAGAGGAAATCTTGAGTTGGTTTGTTATCCCCTTTTTGAATGAAATTCACAATGGAAGAAAATATATATACAAAAAAAAGTGGTTTAAGAAAACAACAAAACCACTTTTTACTTTTAGAAAGGCTACTTTAAAGGTTAAAGCTTTATGTTGTATGTTGAATTACTCAGTCATAAGTAAATATGAATTCAAAAAAGAGTCAGTGTGGTGTTCTATTTTTTTCTTTTTCGAGGAACCTCAGGCTCCTAAAAACTAAGACCACTTGCTTAAGTTGTGTTTAAATAACTTTTAGCTCTACCTGCTTCAGTACTTAGACTTCCTTCCCACTCCTGCTGGGCATGCAGGGGGCATGCTTATTAGCAGGAAGGCCAGCAAATGTCACTGCCTCCAGAAATGAGCTGTGATGGTTCCACAGAACTGTACCTGGTGATGTTGAGTTGGCTGTAAAATTGCCGTTGCTTAACCTGGCTGTGCACGTCACCTCAGATTGTTTTGTCACTTTGACCACCTTAATAGTATTATACACCCCATTTGAAGTCACAATGGGTGCTTTTGGTTCATATACAACTTCTGTAGAGGACATCTCCAAACTGATGTTCTTCTTATAAAAATTCCTTGCCAGACAAGCTGCTTTCCCAGTGTCATCATCTTTTTTGTTTTTCTTTGATTTCATCACAATGACTTCTGGAATAGAATCATTCTGATTTCCTGTTTAAAAATAAAAGTATTTTTTTTTTAAAAAGGGATTCTGTGGGCATGATTTGATTTTATTGCAGTCTTGCCTGACAGTTAAATCACCTGCTGTTCAGGTGCTTCCATCATTGAATAATAGTCTTTCTTTTATCTTTATATTTTCCTGCTGCTTATTCCAAAAGAGCAGATAGAAGGCAGAAAGAAAGTACAAAAGTAGGTTTTCAAAGCAGCTTTAATTCCACAAGCTTCCTTTTCCTAGAACTAATGCCTTTATGTGAGCTCTTTATTTGATAAGGCACCTGAAAATTAGAACTTGTAATGGTTCAGCTCCAAGAGTCAAATTATTCTGCTTTCTCAACAATCTAATTCCTAAAAATAAACGATCTATCAAGGATGACTTTGTGTACTCATGGGACATGAGGAATTAACTGCTTTTCCTTTACTCTCTCACACCTCCCCCAGGTCTCCTTCTGATGTGGCTACAAGCTCTCATCAGGGCAAAAGCGTTAAGGCAAAGAGAGAAGCCAGTTTGTTGCATCACTGCTGTGCAAAATTACTTCAGTGATGTCTGGCATGGCTTGCAGAAACAAAGTGTTGCTGCTAGAAAGGAGGAAAAAGCTGATCTTTTGATTAATAAATTTGCAGGAAGGCTTTTTGTCTCCAAGGTGCTAAATTAGGAGAGAAGCAATCAGGAGCTTCTAAATTATGTCCACTTATTTCCACTTCTCCTGGAATAAAGTCAAATACTTGAAATTGTGGCAGAGATTTTCCCCACAAAATGTTACGGACATTTAAATCATTCAAATCCAGCCTACAGATACTGAAAAGATAGTAGGTTTGGCAATTGGTTTTAAAAGCTCCTGTGCTGTGCCCTGTGCCATACTGCTAGTCACACAACTCCAGAGGCAGTCAGAAGTACAATGTAGAGTTAGCATGACATACAACAGATTGATTTGAAGGACAGAACACACTGAGGCCTATAAACTTGAAGCCCATAGACAAATATTTTACAGTATTCCTTACATCAGTGTACTAATTTCAGTAGTTGTTCTATAGGATTAAGATATTAACAAAGATGCATGCCCTAGAGCAGAACCTAAAAGGTGTAACAGGATTGATGGGATTTGGTATCACAGCTCTGCTGCATCTTTCAGCAGAATTGCTCTGAAACTGTCTGATGTATTTTTTTAGCTTTGAAACCATCTGGGAGTTGAATTCTGAATTTTAACCAACAAACATGAATTCCAAAGACTTAACAACTGCAAAAACCTGAATTTCAATTATACCACAGCTGCCTTCTCTGGGAATTTCTGATAGACACAGAAGTTATGAAATAAGATTGCTTAAATTTTTAGTAGACATCTTTTCAGGGAGCAGATGATCTCTCAAAATAATTTACCAGCCAATTATTACCATGATTTTTAAAAACAAAATATCTCTACCTTCAGGTTATACATGAAGTAATTTGGGTTACTCTACATAGCAATGCCAAGACAACATTAAGAGAGTAAATTAAAACAATAACATGAAACGAAGGGATTCTTCTAGTATGCCTCCTTGGCAAAAGGATCTCAGCTTATCAGACATTTTTAAAAAAAGGATATATAGAGAGTAGAATGTGTCCAATTTGATAAGAGCCTCCTGATTGATAGAGAGGTGCATTAGACTCTGCATTTTGCATGGCATCTGTGTTGCATTCTACTCAAAAGTCCCCACAGATCTGAAATTTTGTTCATCATATTTATCTTTGCAAGTCCTTCAACAGGTTCTGAATTTACTCTCCTTCCAACTCTACTCACATCCCAAAAAAGTGCAAGCTGAACAATACTCTGACATAACATCATGGCTTGCCCCTGCTAATAAGAACAAGCACAACTCCATGTTTGTAAACACCTAGAGAAAACAGATTCCCAAATTCACATCTTCATTGACTTCCCTGGACCAATGTAGTTTAACCCAAACTGAACCATCTAGTATGACTGAACCGACAGATTAAACTTCTTTTAATTCCTCTGTGTAATACTGTCAATTTCTCCACTTACCGCTGTCTCTCTAACCCTGAGAGAATTTAAATTCTTAGCATCTTATATATATTTATTCACAGATTCTTTTGTTCCCTTCAAACTGCCCAACCATTGGTGTGAAACCTAATAATAACTATTACAAGCTTATGAAAATGCCAAATGGTAGATCATAGAAGGTCACAGAATCATTAAGGCTGGAAAAGGCCTCTAAGATCATCCAGGCCAACTGTCCACCAATCACCAATGTTGCCCACTAAACCATATCCCTCAGTAGAGCATCTAAATGTTTCTTCAGCACCTCCAGTGACAGTGACTCAGCCACTTCCCAGGGCAGCCCATTCCAGCACCCGACCACTGTTTCAGAGAAGAAATATTTCCTAGTATCCAACCTGAATCTCCCTTGGTGCAACTTGAGGCCATTCCCTCTAGTCTTATTGCTAGTTACATGGCAGAAGAGGTTGACCCCCACCTCACCAGGACCTCCCTTCATGTAGTTACAGAGAGCTGTAAGGTCTCCCCTGAGCCTCCTCTTCTGCAGACTGAACAATTCCTGCTCACTCAATGGCTCCTCGTAATTCCTGCGCTCCAGACCCCTCACCAGCTTTGTTGCCCTTCTCTGGACACACTCCCAAGCAAATTCAGCATGAGCTTGTCCTTGCACAGCCCAGATTCTTTGGCAATTTCTGTGAAGGGGACTCAGCATGTTTTTTTATACTTAAACTAACTGCATATCAAAGGATTATGCATAGAAATCTTAAAGTCTAATTAATGACTTGAAGTATGAGGAAGTTGCTACTTGACTTTTAGGAGGAAGAAGAGAAGAAAAAGTTGAAATCCAAAGAATAACAACTGAGAAAATGTGAAAACATAAAGAATACCTACTAGGCTCCACAGTCAGTTGGGTCCCAGTCCCGAAGATTAGACCAGCAGTTACGCACAGTTAAAAAGGGTTGTATCAAAAAAGGCCTGTTTTGTTATACTTCCTCAGACACTTCCCTTCCAGGTGTAACATGTTTTTGCCAGCTACTGTTAGCCCTGTGTGTTTTTTGTTATCTGAGAAGATATTTGAAGTCCTTTCATGTTGTCTAATCTCCAGTGTTTCCAAGCAACCAGTATACAAGGCAAACTGACTGGGTAAAATTCTCAGCAAGAGCAAGTGTGCACTGTGCAATTACTGTAAAGCAGAATTATTATTATTATTATTTATCAAGCCCAGCAGTCTCAACATAGTCCAATTATTTTGTGTTATCTGAAAATACACCTGTGAATTCCTTGCATTGTTTGCTTGGTGATTTTTATATTACGTTCTGGAAAAGGTAATTTATTAGCACAAAAAAGTCATAATTTTTTTTCTTTAATCTTACAGAGGCATAGGAATAGTTATATATTCTATAATGCTGTGGTCCTTAGTTTTCTTAATAAGAGTTTTATCTAGAATAAGCAAAACCAAAGGCAAAACCCTTTTGTGAGCCTTCTACAGGAAAATGTGCCTGGAAAATACTACAGAGGATAATAGTGCATGTTTCCTACACAATTTTGTGTTTGGGGATTCTCAGAAGATTCAGGTAACCAGACGAGTGTGTACTTAGCATCTTTAAATCCTTGTTAGTATCACCAAAAGAAGTCCAAAGTGATCAACAAAAGGATCAGGCTGCAGAATTCTAGAAATTTGGATTTGACATATGAAATACTTCAGCAGACACTTGAGTGACTTAGAAGACCCATTATCTTTTACTGTCAGGCATTTCATTTTCATCCTAAAGTCGTTGTGCAGCTCTTCATCCCCCCCTCAGCAAGAAAAAAAATAAGCATCAAACATAGGAGAAAAAAAAAAAGTAAGAATGACTTGAAGCATTTCAGAGGAGAGGAGGCCAGGCCAGTATATTTCATTTGTCACATGAATTGTTCTCTAAGCTCCACTGTAGAAAACTCAGGGAAGAAAGATAATTGTAAAATGTGGATAATGTCATGTGTGCAGTACGTTGATTCCAGCAATGGTTTTCCCTAACCAAGAATATCTTGCTGGAGTCAATGATTCGCATGATACCTTCAGGGCAATTAGAAATAAATCTTTTTTTTTTTTTTTTTTGGCAGCAGAACCAACACTCTGAAAAACCTACATTTTGGAGAACAGTATTTGTCCTTTTTTTTCTAGAAAAAAAGAGCCATCACACAGCATTTGCCAGCATAAGAGGTCGTAGGAAATTGGCTAAACTTTTTTGAATTTGGTTGATTCTAGAATAATAGAATTTACATTTTTTTGTTCCTTCAGAATTGGGAATGGGATTCAACTGTTCCAAAATAGATTTTTATTATCATTCACAATATCCTACAGACATGGACAGATATTAATCCCCACCTAAGAGAGCTCCATGATCTCTTTCTGGCATGTCTCTAGGGATACAAAATGACAGAGGATATTGTTTCAGAATTTTAAAGCCACTACAATCTCTGAAAGCATCACAACTTTTAAGCTCCGCACCTGAATGTTTAGGACAACAAGGATTAATCTATCAAACTCCTCTTGTGCACCACAATTAAACACACAGCTGGCTGGAGTGATATTTGCCTTTACTGAACTTGACAGAATTTCAAATAAAGTCAGGGAGAACTAAGGCTCGTTATAATCCCTACCCACTGCCTCTAATTTTTGAAAGCCCATTCAGCTGTGCAGCCAAATCTCCTTCGTTCATCTTGGTCTTGGATGTGAGCCAACTGCAAAACCTTGATCCCGAGGTTATTTAACCTCCTTCCTTCTCTTTCTCTATGCCAATGGAATTACTTAGCTGCTGACACTATGAGTGTAATGTCAATGCCAAAATCTGTCTTATCATACAAGAGAGTTAAGAATGCATCTCAAACTTTCTGTCCATTCTTGGTTCTTTGCTGAGTTAAGCAATTCTGCTCAAAAGGAGACAGTGAAAACTCACTGAAGCCCCACAGTAAAGTTGGGACAGAATACTATTGAGACTAGGAATAAATGATGTCGTGCTAAATCTAAGGACTGCAGGTTGGGTGTTTGAGGATCGTGGAGTGAAGGTGATTTACAGAAGTAGCATAGCCATTCCTGTGAAGCTTCCCTAAGCAGATACAAGCTGAGGAATTAGTCTGGAACACAGGCTAGAAACCAGGAATTACTACAGCAGAAAATTCTTACAATGAACAGAAACTACTGAATCCCTTTATCATAATTTTACAAGTGAAAATGACGGTACTTACTTGGTTCAACTGTGAGAGTGGTTCCACTTCCAAACACAAGCTTATCTGTTCTCACACTGTTAGTCCCCAGTCAAATAAATAACTCTTTCCTTGCTGCATTCAGAAGTTATTTTAAAAAAAAAAAAAAAGATCAAAATCCAGATGCTTGTCTTATTGACCCATGTATGCAATCCCATGAGGGCATTTAGAGCTATGTTTTCTTCTGAACCTGGAAGGGAGAAAACAATATTGATGTCAAATAGCTTCATCAGTACCGAAGTTTTATTTTTCTCCCTTCTGCAAAAAGTTCCATGAGCTCAATACATTCGGGATAAATCAATATGTGAAAGGAATGTCAGATTTATCTCCTGAGGTATTTCAGGAACTTATATTCTTCCTTCCAAAAAAAACCCATAAAACTTATTTTGCACCATTGGGTTTTTGTACAGGGCCCTGTGTTGTTTACACCACTGTGGTACTCCAACTCCCAAACACAGTGATATACCTCATTACAAAAAATATGTCTTCCTTTGTTATGACTACACAGAATTTTAGATTATTCAGGCAGTCACATGACTTCTCGAGTGGTTTCTGTCTTACATACCACATGAAGAAATTTGGCACAGCTTTCAATGAACGACCTAGAACAGGACAGCAATGGCTGAATTTTAACTGAAATCTTCAGGATAACGTAATGTTTCTGAAAATCTCATGGAGTTGAGCTTATTAGAAAACAGGGGAAAAAATTCATAGTTTTAATGCTATGCCAAAGAATTTATGAAAATTCTAAGCTGCAGAGGGTTGTTGTTTTTTCACCTTTTTCAGTGCTCATGAAAGTGAGGTGTGTGCCTGATATTGGTACTCAGAGTTGACGTCTGAGGATCGTTCGACCTTAGGAAGTCCTAAGTGGGGAAAATGATTGCTCTTTGTTAGGTGGAGATACCGTACCCCTGAGGGCAGCTATCATAAAGTAATTGGATCAAATTGTTCAGAGTGATCAAGCTGTACCATTTACACTGTCTGGACATCTACGATTAAACAGAATGTAATAGGTAGAAGAAGACACACAGTGTGTGAGAGTACCTGTGTTTTGTGGACTGATCTAAAACCACGTGGCACTTTATTTGGCAACCCTGATGTTTGAGAAACAATATGTTAAAACTGAGGAGGTCAAAGCCAGTAACACCATGTGGGAGGATGTAAAACTTTTGATTGTCTAAACATTGGAATTGATAGCTGAGAGTTAACTAGGGTTAAAAAACTCAAAGAATCTCTCGCTGTTGACCATAGAATAAAGAGGTATAAGAAACGTACAGCTGGAAACAGACCCAAGCAGTGAATTAGCCAATTCTGCTGTGCCAGTCAGCTAGATCTGCTCCCTAAACCACTCCAAGGAAATCACCAGACTTGCTGTATTGAAATAGAGAATGACCATAAATCAGCAGACAATTGCAGCTTAAGCAAGAGTGTGACTTAATGTGGTTATCTTGCTCTGGGCTTGAACAAAGGAGGGAGCGGAGCAACTTGCTTATCTGGCAAGCACTGGACAGACTGAAGATGTGTGGATAAACATCTCACCTAAAGCCTGGCAGCTATAGGACTATAGCAACTAAGTGATGTCTAGGGCAGAGGCCTCACAGCCCAGCATTTCAGTGAAGATTTCTTTTCAGTAGAGCCAAGAGAACAACACCACCTCCGTACCAGACTTTGGCTTCAACTCCCCACTTAATTAAAAACACAACAAAAATTGTTAAGATGCCTGCCAGCGCACTTGACTCAGTCTCAACTTGATAAGAGCATAAATCTGTCCCTCTGCCAGTGCTTCCATTGACAGGAGATACTTCACTGACTTGAGTTGATTGATGGGCATGATGCATCCTGTCAGGAGAGTCCTGGAAACTAGCAAGGATGAGTGCATTGACTTGGACATGGGGACCAAGCAGGTTTCTGTTTTCATCTTATTGGTGTAGGGAGAGGAGGTGAGAAGGAGGATGGGATGGATCACTTGTCAGTGGCACTGGCAATGGGGACTTGGTTTCTAAGTCCATCAGACCTATTTGAAAACTAAAGACTGTGGAAGAGTTGGGATCCACCTGACTGGGCAAAAAACCCAGATCAAGAAACCTGAGGCAAAAGAAATTCTTCATACACTTTCTAGGAAGTCAGCATGACTAGGTGCCTTTTTGAAGTACCTGTGCAACAACGTATGCAAATCCAGGAAGAAACAGGATAAATTTAAGCTCAATTTGTAGTAGCGAGTCTGTGACTGTGGATACAGGGTGGAATAGTCCACATGACTCAACAATTGAAATACATCTTGAAGCCTAGGTTGCATGGCCCGGGATTTCCTTCATGGCCCGGTTGTAAAGCTATTAGATTATGGAGATTTTCTGTGATAGCTTGCAGAAATACTGCAGAGAATGATGACTGGCCCTTTAGCAAAGACAATGGAAAGGTAAGGAGGGGGAACTGCTCTTTCCATCAGAGCATCTGAAAAATGCATGCTGCTCTGCTTTGGAACATGCAGTGAACCTGCTGATAGCATATGGGTCAGGAGTAGAGGGCAGATCAATATGGGTGACATGGTGGATGGCTATGACAGACCACACGATTTAGAAGAAGAAGAGGCCTACTTTGGACAACTGAAAGAAGACTCTAGTTTACCAGCCCTGATCCTAATGGTGGGGGCTGCACAGTGAGACAAAAACCATACAGAGTTCACCGATGAAATCATACTGAAACAAGAGATCAAGGAGATGGACCTCCTATGTGCAAATGAGAAAGATTCAGCAATAGATGTTGAAGGTCAGGAGCAGGTTCGGCTGTGGTGATCACAGGATCACAGAAACACCAAGGTTGGAAAAGACCTACAAGATCATCCAGTCCAACCATCCACCTATCACCAACAGTTCTCACTAAGCCATATCCCTCAACACGTCCAAACTTTCCTTGAACACCTCCAGGATTGATGACTCCAACACCTCCCTGTGCAGCCCATTCCACTGCCTGACCATTCTTTCAGAAAAGTAGTATTTCCTAACGTCCAGCTTAAATGTCTGGCGCAGCTTGAAGCCATTCCCTCTAGTTCTATCACCAGTTACACGAGAGAAGAGGCCGACCCCCAGCTCACTACAGCCTCACTTCAGGAAGTTATAGAGAGTAATAAGGTCTCCTCTGAGCCTCCTCTTCTCCAGGCTGAACATTCCCAACTCCTTCAGCCTCTCCTCATCAGCCCTGTGTTCCAGACCCCTCACCAGCTTTGTTGCCCTCCTTTGAACCGCTCCAGAGCCTCAATGTCTTTCTTGCAGTGAGGGGCCCAAAACTGAACACAGCACTTAAGGTGCAGCCTCACCAGTGCTGAGTACAGGGAACAATCACTGCCTTATTCCTGCTGGCAACACCATTCCTGATGCAAGCCAGGATGCCTTTGGCCTTCTTGGCCACTTGGGCACACTGCTGGCTCATGTTCAGCCAAGCATCCATCAATACCTCCAGGTCCATTTCCTTTACACAATCTTAACACTCATGTAGTATTTGAGCTCAGAATCCCAGGAAGGGGAAGAAATGCTAAAAGCAGAATCACAGCCCCTGGATCCCATTGGAAGATCCCAGGAGTTATGGTTCTGGACAGAGGAGAGCTGCTTAATTTTCAGAGATCAGGAATGGTTTATCTTGACAAAACATAATGCAAAGCAAAGGTAGCAGGAGGCCCAAATGATGAACAAGGGGCTCCTGAACAAACTCAGGTAAGGCAAGGGAATGTGCACGAGTGGGAAACAGAGGCTGATGATCTGGGAGGGATCTAGAGACACTATCATCATGCAGGGATTCATGATCATGCAGAGTTAGGGCTGGAAAAGTCAAAGCTCATCTGGAACTGATTCTGGAAGAGCATGTGAAGAGCAACAAAAAAGTTTCTACTCTGAAAGTAATGCCTCCTATTTTGCTGAGATGGCCCATGAAGTTGGAGGTGGATGTCGGTGATATGGCAGTAGAGGTTCAATCTTCCTCACAGTATTCCAATACATTTTGTTGCCATGCGACAGATGGCAGCAGAGGGCAGCCTGACAAAATGGTGTCTGAGATGAAAGAGTGTGAGGCAAAAATGTGGAACTGAATTCCTCTACGTGGAAAAAATCGCACTGGCTGACATCTGCATGTCTGTTCAGAATGAAGCTTGTCTTTCACATTGCTTCTGCCACTGCTGACATGCATCACTGTGCTCACATTCACTGTTTGGTCTCCATAAATGTTCAGCAAGCATCAACTAATGCCAATGGTGCAATTTTCTACTGCCATACCACATACAAGCCAACATAATAAAATAGGAGGCATTATTTTCAGAACAGACTTTGTGCAAAGGAGCTGCACATGATTCAAAGTCCTCCTTCTGATGCCAGTTTGATGGGAGATTACTATCAGCAACTATTCTTTGTAATCTCTTGCTTGCTCTCTTTATGCATCTGCTTCTGGCCATTGTTCAGTACAGACCTAAAAGGATTTTTGCTTTTATCAAAAAAGAGAGTCAACAAATCTTACCTGCTCTGTGCTGTCAGAAGAGAAGGCAATGATGAAGTGGAAACATCTAAAATCCAGCAGATATATACCTGATCACCCAACTTGAGTTGACAGGCGCATGTCCAAAATCCCATCCTGTCAAAGACCGGATATTAAATGTCAAGGAAATTGGCCTTGTATGCAAAAATCTTCCCGGTGAATTATGCTGGGAATTAAATTTATGTTTATGCTTACAGTTGTCTGAAGAAAAAGAGACTGCAGGGCATGATGTTTTGGCCTTCAAGGGAAGTCAGTGAGTAAGCCCATTTGTGTTTGGTAATTCAGTCTTTTTCAGTCACAGAGGTACGTAATCCACAGCAGTAGAGACTTCTACAAAAACACATTTATTTATTTACTTCACATCCCGGTGGCTTCCTCTTTCATGTCCTTTGAAGAGATGAAACTTTATCTACTGTTTTACTTTATAATAATCTAAAGCTGCTGCAGAAATGCTGTTACGCACTAAAACCAAAATTATCAGTATTGCTTTGTTTTGGAGGGGCAGAAATATTAATTTATAACTATAAAGTCCATATTTGTCGAAAAGGAATGTTGTTCCCTTTGGGTGTTGGAGCTGTTCTTACTGGAGGAACCTTATTTCTCATTTGTCTTTTAACAAATATCAGGGGAGTTATGATGGAACATACTAAAGAACATCACAGGACCAGTTACATCAATCCTATTAATTTTTATTTTATTCTACATTTCCTAAGTATTTCTGAACATCATTTCCAAGATGATTACAATCAGCTTTTAGTTTTTTGCTTAGTGGCTATCTGAAATTGTGAAGCAGTTTCTGGATCAAGTCTATTTCTAAGACACATAAGGAAATGGGTATATTCCAGTCTGTTCACAAATTTGCCTGGTTCAAAGCTGTATTACTCCATTTGTTTATTAACATTATTGCTGAAAGGTCTACTAGACATTTTTACCGAAAAGCTTTCCTGACTCTTTCAGCCCCCAGACATCCTTCATTTATATTCTAATCCAACTTCCCTTTCTGAGGGAAACAGCCCTCTCTGAGTTTAGCTCCCAGAATATCCATCTGATTAAATCACATATATATAAAAGACAACCATGTCCACACCTCTCATTGAGATGGAGGGGTGATTTTGGGATGCAGCTGTCAAGGTGACTCTTCTTTTAAAGGATACAGTGTCCATTATGCTCTTCTGTGGACAGTACCATCCCATATATTCAAGCTCTCTTACAAAACAGAAATGCTACTGATCATCTGTTCCCTGCAGAGAGTGGAAGTGATCTTAAAAAACTAGATATTTAATAAAACCCAGCAGTAAATCATAGCTTTCACTGTGAGTGAACAGCTAAAACAAGTTATTCAAAATCAGTCATCTGCTCCCCAGTACAAAAAAAAGACAGGGATCTCTTGGAGAGAGTCCAGCACAGGGCCACAAAGGGCCTGGAGCATCTCTTCTATGAGGAAAGGCTGAGCAAAGTGGGTCTGCTCAGCCTTGAGAAAAGAAGACTCAGAGGGGATCTGATTTCTGTTTGTAAATATCTTAAGGGTGGGAGTCAAAGAGACACGGCCAACCTCTTTTCAGCAGCCTGTGAGAACAGGACAGGGGGAAACAGCTATAACTGGAGCACAGGAAGTTCCACACCAATATGCAAAGGGACTTCCTCATGGTGAGGGTGGTGGAGCACTGGAACAGCTGCCCAGGCAGGTTGTGGACTCTCCTTCTCTGGAGATATTCAAGAACTGGATGGATGCCTACCTGTGCAGCCTGCTGGAGGGAACCTGCTCTGCAGGGGGGTTGGACTCGATGATCTCTAGCAGTGCCTTCCAGTCCCTTCAGTGCTCTGATTCTGTGAAAAGCAGGATCTATAATACCTGCTTGGGAAAGTCCCAGTGCTGAAGAAAGAAAGGTGGTAATAGAAGAAATTAGGTAATATCTGCTCTGTGATTTATAGCTCTTGCAAGATATCTGATATTGGCCTGATAGGACCAGTGAGTGACTTAGTGAGTCTTAGATTAATTCATGGGAATGATTTCTCCACAGAGCCAAATGCGCTCATCAGAATAAAAATGACCTCACATGCCACACCACAGATAGGCTGTGGCTTTTCTAACTCTATTCTGCATGGTGAAAAAGAGTTTCTATGTCCCTCCTAGATCACCTTCCTCTGCTTACACCTCTTCCACATTTCCTTTCTATTTCAGAGATTTTTCAGGAGGTCTTTGTGCATCATTTCAGCATCCTTTGCTTGACTTCCTGCTTTGTCACAATGAAAGAGGATGTCCAGGTCATGGAGGGAAAAAGGGGCCATGCTAGACAAGAGGCTCAGTTAACATTCACTAGCTAACAGTTCACCAAGTAGCCTCTGAGGTTCCCAGAATAGTTAATCTTATATAGTTAATCTTATGTAGTAATGGTTAGGTTCATAACCTTCTGTTTCTCTCTTTTTGTATCGTTTCACTTATTATCCCATTGCTTTAAACTTAAGAAAAGATAAATGCACTTCATTTATTTACTGTTTGTAAGATCTGTGCTGACCCCATCCACTGCCAAAACAGCTGGATGTGAATACATGCTTGGGAAAGCTCTGTCTTCTGCACCTGCAGTTGCATGACACCACCTGATTAGTGTCTGCCCCAAAGGAACACTGACAATTCGGGATCCTCTATCATCACTTCTTGGTCCACTGCTGCAGAGCTGCTGCAGTGTGAACCGAGCACTGCAGTGAAACCCTGCATCTTCCCCTCTCTTTGCTGCTTGGATCTGCAGTGGGAATCTGTTGTGGGAGCTCTCCACCGTTCCAGAAAAGTGAAACTTCTGTATTCCTCACCCTCCCAATAAATCCATATGGCCTCTGCTAGGACTATGCTAGAACAGCTACTGTGAGTATATGCTGCTTCCTCTCATATTGCTCTGGAAGATGACTTCACTACTGCTGATTACTGCTGGTTTCTTGACATGTTGCTCCCCAGCCACCTGGCCAGTGACTGCTGCAAGACTACTGAGAACAAGCTGTGATGGCCTTATAGGATATATAGATATAGATATATTCTAGATATAGAATAGGAAAGGGTGAGAGCAATCCTGGAGGGGCATTGCAGTGGCACTGGACCAGGGGGAGATCTTAACCCTTCTTTTTGAATCAAGCTGACAATAGTTCAATCACTGGATCAATCAATCAATCACTGGATTTGCAGTGTGAATCACTTGTGGCAGCTCTCCACTGTTCACTGAAAGGGATTCTGGAAACCTCCATATCCATCACCATCTCCACAGCTCTGTGCTCTCCCCTCCAATTTCTCTCATAACACCCAGCTCCTGCTGGGGTGCAAACAGGCAAGAGGGAAGGGAAGAGTGGATGAAGACGATGTTGTCTGGGCAACGGGGGATGCTTCTCACTGTGCAGGAGGGTGGGCGCAGGGCAGCGTGTGGGACAGGGTGCAGGAACAGAGTGCACTGTCTTCCAACTCTAAGCCAATGATGATCAGAATCCCAGAGCTCTCATCAGGTTGACATGATGGCATGGTTTTATTATTTTTGTTATGGATATTCCACATCATAACATCATGTAGTGCACTGGAAGTTAAAGAATTAATGCTCTGGTTCCATGGACTGTCATTTTTTTCTGGGTACCTGGTTCTCAGAAGAGAAGAACAACTACAGCTCCACTGTTCCGTTTCCAATTTCCATTCAGAGAGAAAGATAAAACTTCTCAGGAATCATTAGATGGCCCCTTTCCTTTACTGCCCATCTCTGCAGAGTGTGCTCCAAGCTGAATACTGGATTTCATGCGTTGAAAACAATAATGTCAGCATTGGAACAGAGCAAAGTTTGCATCAGGTGGAAACTGTGAAGGGAAACACTGGAACAGAAAGAACAGTGAATGCAAGTTTGTTAGGAACAAATGAACCCATTCGAGGTTCAACATGACAGTTTCCTGGATCACATCATTAACAATGATGAGGTGAGGTGTCACCACTACCAGGCAGTCAAAGGAGACAGAGTCCATGGAGTGGTGACATAAGAATTCCCTATCAAAGAAAAAGTTCAAGACACAGCCCTCAGCAGTTAAAGTGATGCGCACTGTCTTTTGGGATAGGAAAGGGGAGATCCTTCTAGAGTTAACAGAACCAAGAAAATTCATCACCTCAGTCCGCTCAGTCTCCATGCTGACAGCACTGAAGGCTCACAACTCCAGAGACAGGGCAGAGAAGAAGACAACAATTCTCTTGCAACATGATAACGTCATAACATGAATACACCATACCAATTGGAAGACCATGGTATACACTAAAAGTTTTGGCTGAACACTCCATCCACAGCCATGATGTAGTCTGTGTATCACACCTTTGGAATTCCATCTGTTTGGGCTGATGAGAGATGTACTCTGTGTACTCTATGAAGACCATGGTGCACACTGACAGTTTTGGCTGAACAGTCCTTTCACAACCATGATACACTCTGTGAATGTCACCTTTGGACTTCCATCAGTTCAGGCTGATGAAAAATGTTCTCTAAGAGCTACATTTTCCTGGTAAAAATGCCAGCATAATAGCTGTGGAACTGTGGTTCACCTGCACTGGTGCAGGTATTTACCAGCATGAAATGAAGGATCTTCTTCATCACTGGGGAAAATGCACAGCTAATGGTGTTGACATTGTTGAAAGATAATGACATGCAGCTGTACATCTCCACTATCAAACAGTGTTATTGTGCACTTTGAAACTGCTGTAATTTCAATGGAATCAAACAGGGGAAACTGCTTTCAGAGTAACTTATATACACTGCAGGATCTCGATTTGTCCTGCATGACTCAACACTACAGACTGCGTTTGTTGGTTTATATCATTCTGAAATGCATCTGAAATCATGTCAAAGATATTCATTTACTGCTTTGATCACAGAGACAGATGGAAAAAAACTCATGGCTGGTGGATGGGAGCAGGCAATGCTATTGCTAGACGCGCCCAATGTGCTTTTGAGTATCTAAGGGAAGAAGGAAAGAAAGAGCCGGAGCAGACATGCTGAAGGCAGGAAGGTGGGCAAAGTGGCCAAACTGATCTCGTGAACAGAAATATGCTGAACATAATCCTTAGGTCACAACACCGCTTTTGTGACTCAGGAGAATGAAAGGAGTGATGAAGTGAAAGGAGACTGTGCAGAAAGGACAGGGTAATCGGTGGGGTGCAGTGATGTGCCGTCACCGTCCAGGAACGGTCCAGAGCTGCTCCAGCTCCTGCCAGCCGTGTGGTTCCAGCAGCTGTTCTCATGAAGATTTTTGCTAAAGCTCTGCAGGATTTCCTGTTCACGTGCGAACAGCACAGAAATAGCGTGCTGAATCGTGTGGGTGCAGGGCACGGAGAGACAGATAGGACACAGAGCGGGAATTGTCTCGAGAGACTGAGGATCGGCTCTGCACCTCAGGGTTGGATCTAATATGTAAGCTGCTAGTGCTGATATAGGACAGCCACTCGAGACGACCACTGAGTGTCTGACGGTACCACAGTACATGGTAATTTCCAAAGCTGAAGCCGGATCCCTGGCAGGAGAGCCGCATGGACTCCCCAGGTGCTCGCACACCTCCGCCAGACACTTCCAGTCTCCACTGTGCACACAGTCCTGTAGAAGGACAGCATCAGGAAGCAGGCATTGCACATCCATGGC